GAGTTGTACTGTTTAGCCATATACCTACTTACGAGATGATGTCGACTTATTAATATTTCCAGTTAATTTCTGATTAGTTTAATCAAAGAAAGTTTTGTACTATTTTTTACATATCCGGATTCTCTACAAAGCAAGTTTCGCTACACAGGACTCAGCACTGACACCTTTGCGCTGCTCGTTACTGGCTACCGCACTCATTACGACCCCCCTCTCCTGGCGGCCAAATACGACCCCCCTGTTGGGGAATCGGGAATCCCCAACAATGATGTGCCCTGCTCATCATGCCTTCTAAGCCCTACCCACTTTATGAGCCTCAATGAAAAAAACTAATTTGAACGGACCTTATGGTGCAAATCACTTGCGGTGCACAGAATATGATACAGACTTTCCAAAATTAAGTAAAAATTCCAGAGCAAGCGGCATCCCTACTAGTAAGGAATCAAGTATCGATGAGTACAAAACTCATCCCAGAGGCTTTGCCGCCGTGCACAGGAAATGGAATATATAATGGTTAACGTGCGGAGCGTTAATTAATGCTCACGTCTATGACATTGGGCATCAGAATATCCGATGTAACTGAATCGGCGATTACATACGTGCACCTTGGAAAGAATGGATAAAAGACAGGATTATAAATTCCACGATAACAGATGGGATACAGTACCTCCGAAAATTGCGCGTGAAATTATCGGATTCGTGAACGCACACATTCGAGGGTACCGTAAGTAGGTTTAGTTACCCAAGAAGTAACCGCTACTAGAAATAATGTGAATAACTGATCAGTGTGAAAGAAAGGGAAAAATGGTGCAGTGGTGAATGACGCAGATGTGATTCGCATGGTCATGGGATCAAATCCGCATCTTATCGGGCCCATGTTGGTGTGAGACGTCATAGGTAGCAGGTAGGATCAGTGAGGACAGCACAGTTGTAGGCCTGACTCCGCCCATAGGATCAGAAAGGAATGTGCTATGGAAAGCTTCTGCTTCTGGGCGCAAACACACGAAGTCCATTTCTCGATTTATGGAGGAGAATGTGAAAAAAAGGAAAATTGAGAGATGAGCAGAGGTAAAAATAGCGGCAGAATCCCGAAGGTAATTCTGAAAATTGGAAGACTAAATAGAAACAAAAATTAGAAAAGCGTGATGCATAATGCATTCCCCTTTCCGCATGGGAGAAACCTGATTGGGAGGTAAACAAGCAAATAAACATGCAAGCAAACAAACAAACAAACAAACAGTTACATGGTAAAATGATAGTCAAAGTTGGCGGGGAACTATGGAAAGGACAGATTGGTGGTGGACAAGCGACCTTGCCTACCGAACGCTCGGCCCTGAATCGGATCTCCTTCAGGTCAATCAAGCCCTCTATTCCGCCTGGGATAATTTGTTGGTAAAAGGCTCGTCTGGGAGGATATAAGGCTTATCCGGGAGGATGCCGGACAACATAAAATCTTCTGGTCTCCGGAAGTCGCTGTAAAGACCAATTGTGTCGCTCAAATGTCATGCCGCTCAAAATCACTAAAGATTCTGAGTGGAAGTAGAATACGTGGCGCATCCCAGAAGATTGATAAATCAATGCCATATCGCTTACCCTCTCAGCACACATTATCACCAAATGAGATAAAGCAATGGGATAGGGGGGGGAGGTGGCGCGTCCGTTACATGAGTGGTCCTTTGAGTTCGGGATCAAATCCCACCCTGGCCAAGCACTCCTCCCCATCTCTCTGACGTCATCTCACCTCTACCATATTTATCTGAGAGAACAAAAATTTCGACCAAGTATCAGCTGAACTCCGTAATCTCAACTATTTGGGGCGTTTTTTGAGCACCCACGGAATCGAATTCCATTTCGGTGGTGGAATAAATTTTAATTCTCATTTCGTCCTGAAGTCGGTGAAAATGCATAGAGAGCATTAATCTTTGGTGCGAAGAATGTGGAGGCTGGGTTCAAAATATCTATCCAAAGGAAAAAGGCTTGGAGAGGAGGAAAATAAGAGCAATTGTCCACTAAGAGGAGCAGATTCAATTATTGCGAGTTTGCAAATAATAAGTGTCTGGAAAGGAGACAGAAAAATATTCATTCTCAAAAATCTATGAACGCGAAGATAAATAGAAGACTGTAAATGAGAACAAAAATAAATAAAATATAAAAATCAAATTTTGTGTGGAAAATTAATTATCCACATAAAGAGCAACGAAAAGCTGCGTGTATCGACCGGTTTCATGTCTACATGGCAACGCGAAGACAATAAATGAGCGCTAAGTGTAGCGGCACATAAATCGTGCCGTAAAGATGTCACGCGTGAGTTATGGGTTATATAATGTGACAACAAGAGAGCTCACTAGGAACTGAAAGCTTTACTTTGGTTTGTACGAGGGCAACCACTTGCAAACAACTGCGTATACGTCCCCTTAACACAACACATTTCTGACCGCCGTTCTTTATCATTTCGATATTTTTTAAAATCGTAAAGAGCAATTTCATCCATTTTTTTCAGTTCGGTTTGTAATATGTGTATTCTTTGTCCAGAAGGGTGTTCTGATAACCTCAGAACATGAAACAAATGTTAAATAGACTGTATGAAACAGCGGTGAGAAAAAAAATGTATGACACACCATGTGTGTCACGCGGTGCGACACCTGCTATGGAGGCTTAGTGGATACTGTCCCCTCTGCGGGACTATTTTTTTGCAATGCTGGCCGTCTGCGCTCTACATAGGCCAGAGTCTTTCGGGGAAAGGGATACAGAGGCGTGGTCGAGCGCTCTCTCCTCCTTCCCAACTACGTTAGTCCGCCCCCCTATACTCGGACCTGTTCTTTTCTTGCTTTTCTTCTATTAGGTTGTCCGGAAGGCGTGGTCTTAGCGTTTTGTGCAGCGACCTCTTTTGTACATTCAACATTGCTGATTAAAAAGTCCATTCTCCTTGCCTGCTCAGTGCACCATCGGCAGGCTCCTGTAGAGAGAATTTCTTGCGCTATCTGATGGTATAATCCGTTAAACCATTGCTTGATAAACCCCCTTTTTCTCAAGACTTTTTGAAGCATGTGAAAAGAGCACTTCGGCATCACAGATTTTTTTCTACGACTAAAAGTTGTTTTGGGCATACCGCATCGAAAACAGCTCAACCATATTACCAGGTGTTGGGGGCCCTATAGTCTAGAGACCAAGCCATTGTGACACAATGGCTCAACAAAAGTTTCGTCTACAACGCAAAAGATTTTAAGCCTTGAAGATGAACCTCATAGCGGTCGACCTAAAGCAATATCTGACGAGGATTTTAAGGGGATTTTGGAGGCTGACCCATCCCAAACAGTTCGAGAGATAGCAGAAGAGCTAGTGGCAAATCCACTGTTGCAGATGGTCTGGAACGCATTGGGAAGGTGAAAAAACTCGACAATTGGGTGCCCCACAATCGGAGTGACCGCAGAAATCGACTTCGGTTCAGCTTCTTCTCGAGTTCCTTCAGCTTTGCTTTTTGCGCAGCAGAAACGACCTGTTTTTGGCGACCCGCAATTGTCACCTGTGAATGAAATTGACTCATCGCTATGATAACAGGAGGCGTTTCCGGACAGTGGTTGGATTTCGACGAACCACCGAGGTAATTTTTAAAGCCGAACCCTCACGAAAAAAAGATTCTGGTCACGGCTTGGTGGTCATCGGCTGGTGTGATCCACTATAACTTTTTATCACCAGGCTAAACCATCACAGCAGAACCCTACTGTGAAGGAATCGACGAAATGTACCGAAAATTTTGTCAGATGCAGCCAACACTTATCAAAAGAAAGGGTCCGATTCCTTTGCATGACAACGCCCCATACGTTCACCAATATCACGTGATCCATAAATTGAGAACGAATTGGGGGTTGAAGTTCTACCACACCACCATATTCTCCAGACCTTTCACCAACCGACTATCACCTTTTCAAACATTTTCAGAACTTCCTTGCTGAAAAATACTTCATCAATTAGGACCAGGCAAAAAAGACCTTCGTAGATTTCGTGGATTCTCGACCACCCTCGCCAAGTTTTCTTTGAATGGGATTTTAGTGACTGCTGCAACATTGCAAAAGGGTGCTGAATATTCGAAATGGTGCCTATTTCGATTAATCCGATGAGTATTAAAAAAGTTACGATCGTTTAAAGTGAAACACCCAAAACGCTGAGAACTTTCCGGACAACCTAATACCACAATGAAAAGTTGTTATGCAATATTGGAAAAAAACGAATGAAAAATGGATAATCACCTTTAGGACAGTTACTGAACATGATGAAAATCGAAGACTGGGCATAGAGAAATTACAGGTAATGGCTTGAAGTGACGTAGCTAACTAATTGACTGATTTTGTGGCTACATGGCAACGAGAAGACAATAAAGAAGTACTACGTGTAGTAGGTCATGAATAATGTCACGTAGACGCCACACATGGGCTATGGGTTGTACGAGAGTCTATAGGAAACCACAAAACTTTTGTAGCTGTTTTTCTTTCTCGCTTTTCTCGAATCGCACAAAAATATAACAAAATATACCGCCAATATCACGGAATGTAGATAGTTTAGTTTCAAGCTAGCTGAAAAAAATCATCCACTTAAAAACGGCGGATGGTGGCGAGTATTGATTGGTTTTGCGTAGACACGGCAACGAGAAGACAATGAATAAGCATCACGTATAGCGGCATGTAAGTCGTGCCGTAAAATACACTCATTATCCCCGATTTGAGTGGGCGTGACATTTGAGCATGGCATAGAAGAGGTTACTCGTTGGCTATTTCAGATTGAGATAAGTGTCATCTTGGTCAGTGTTGGACAGAGACATGACCACAACTGAGTCAAAATGAAAATATCTCACCAAAGGCACAGCCACCGCCACGTTAGGTTGAAGTATGCAGCCACGCCTACCCCATCTCAGGGATTTCGAGGGTAGTTAGACGTGGGCAATGGGTCACATCAAAAAGAGAATAAGAAAGTTCATGAGAAATCGTAGAAAAATTTCACCGTTGGATCTGACAAAACCGTTAGATTCAACATTTTTGTGATATCTGAAGATGCACCCTTATTCGTTTTCAAAGCAAATATAGAGTTTTCAAAATTAAAATAAAAAGCCCAGTCTAAAAAATAAAACAAGCTGAAAAATAAGAAAAATGGGAACAATTCAAGATGCTATGAAAGTGTCCACTTAAAAAAACAGTGGGTAGTGAGTATCGTTTGGTTTTTTGCCTACGCTACTTCGAGAAGACAACAAGCAAGTACTATGATTAGCGCCCTCATATGCTGCCATGAAGCCGTTGCGCGTGGGTTATGGGTTATATAGCATGTATGTAGGAGGATTCATAACAAATCGATAAATTCTTTTTTGGGTCTACTTCCCTCATATTTAGGGAGATCTCTGATGTTAAGGGGGCGAGAAGGATATTGAGATAGGATCAAAAAAAATCCAAAGCTAGTGATGCTAGAAATGAAAAAAGCATTGGATTATCGATTAGGGGGGGGGGACAGTTCGGCTTGGTGAGGTGAGGGGACCGAATGGTGTTTAACAAAATTTGCACAGTTGGCGCTTGCTAAAAAAAAGCGTAAAATTCCTGTTATTCAAAACGGTTGCACTCAGCATTATTCTCAGCTCCACCAAGATTTTTACAGGTCTTGCCAAAGTGAGAACAGTTAGCACGAACTAGCACAAGGATCTAGCAAACTATAAAATGCCTCCCTTCCCACCCCTCCCAAGCCAAACAGCGCCATCGATTGGTTATGTGTCTGGACGGAAACGAAAAGACAATAAACAAGTACTACGTGTAGGAGCAGGTGAATCGTGCCGCAATGTAGTCAGGTGTGAGTTTTGAGTAACATCACGTGGGTGTAGGAGGGGAGGGAAGGTTTCTTGGGAAAACAGGGACGCCTTACAGCCGGAGAAAAATGCTGCAAAATATGACCCCCTTAACACTTCCTCCTCTGGCACGACCCCTCCAACCTTCCTTTTCCCCTACTCTAAATTTTCCATTCCTACCGTTTCCCCCGCAGTACTCCCTTCAGTTTTTCACCAAAGTGCTGTCGAGGGGGAGCCAGGAGGAGCAGGGGTACGAGGAGGAGGAAGAGCAGTATGTAGTCGCAGGAGGAGGAGCAGAGAGGGGAATATAACGCACATAGAGCAGGAAAGAGTCAACAACTGAAAGCACTTCTCCCAGTGCACCTATCCACCCCCCCCCCCCTTCTCAGCGTTCAAAGACCCCCCCCCCACTGGGGACACGCCGTGTCCAGAAGAGACCATAACTTCCGTACTGTTTTTCTTCCTCACTATCCAAATCTGACATACATTACTTATACTGTAACACTGGGTAGACTCAGTTCTAATTAATTCGATTTTTCGTTTTCTTCTGCCTGAGGGTAATCCAGGAACATGAGAGTTTTCAAGGTAATTCTATTAAAAAATAGCACAAAAAATTGTAAAAAAGCAAAACAAGGGTAAAATCTCCAAGAAATCGCAACTGATACAGGAAAAAAGGACTTACTGGTCAACAGGTGCTTCCTCCATGGACCAAATAACTCCATAAGCTTGTGAAGAAGTTCTTTTAATGGCAATTCACCATGCTTCGACCGATTCAACAGCTCAGCATACTCACGAAATTCTGCCTCTGTCAGGCTCGATGATGCCTTCAAATGGAAAAAAATGAGTAAATACTCCCCATTGACCTGCTCCTGAAACTCTTAAGAGAAACTCGGCTAGGACAGGATTCCGGCTGGTTCGTTAGGCACAACGAAATTAAATTTCAAGGAAGAAATTGGCGCTCTGAAGGCAGCACCGTAGGGGTGTGGACGTGTGTTTTTCATGAGATACATATAACTGATCAATGAGAAACGGCACTGGATTAGCATGGGGAAGCGTACGCGAAAACAAAGCTACAGACAGGATCTCGTCCTATGGCTTGACATCCCATGGGAGTCAGCTACTACCCGCTTTGAGAACCGTCATAATGAAAAAACTCTGCGCTGAGAAATTCTCCTATCAGGCTGTTAGGGCTTCTTAAATATACGGGTTGTTTTTCTCCGGATAGTTCATCAGGGAGTGCGTAGTTCGGTTGGGAGGCAGGGTACGCCATCGTTGTGATCATCACAAGGGGGGGTCGTATTTGACCGCGAGGGAGGGGGGTCGTATTTGGTCAGAGAAAAATTTTTTTGATAGTTGATTTCTCTTGTTTCACGGACGCTGTAAAGGGGGGGGGTCGTACTTGGTCATTTTTGGGAGGGGGGGGGGGGTCGTATTTGGTCAGTTCACGGACGCACTACTATTTCCGACACTTGATGATAGTTTAATTCTGACGACCTCCCCCCGCTCGACGGCTCGGTTCGATGAGGAAGGACAGAGGGCTGAGAGGGGGTCGTACCAACTCCCAAGGAGGAGGTCATTTGGAAAGTTGGAGGTCGTGATTTTTCAGAAGATGGTGCACTGGAGGGGGGGCATTTTTGCACTTAGCGCGTTCTTTTCATGACGTGTCATTGCTTGACAAGGGTTGACAGGTATTCTTCACAAGAGTTGGCAATCAGTCTCTGCGAACATTGGCAGGTATCACTTTATGGGCTTAACCAGATTTTACAAGTTTTTTGATGGTTCAACCCGTAGATGGGAGACCCCCAAAGGACAAACTACGAGTTGACACTAATTTTGCTGTTAACTTCTGATTATAGTAATTGTCTTTTCGAATCGCAGCCATTTAGATATGAATACAATATAATAAATAGATAAATAAATAATGGATGGTCTCCGCCGTTGATAGACCCTTTTCTGGGATGCGGTACGCATTCTGCGTTCACTCAGAACCGTAGTGACTTATGTGGCCGTACACAATGATTTCGCAGGGCCAGCCACAGGTACAAGTCATGTGATTGTCGTATCCCCCTAGACGATATCTTGTCACGCAACCTAACCGTCTTGGAAGGGATAACGGCTTTTGGGCCTAACAGGAGGTGGCCCAAAGCTTGACCCGCTCGTGGTAAGCGCCATTTGCCACCACACCATTTCTGCCAAATAAAGAAATAAGTGACTTCTTTGGTGTTAGACAGCTCACAAGGATTTCTATCAGGCCTCTCAGGGCACGGTTCAGCTTGGTGGGGGGGGGGAACAAATGGTTTCAAGGCAGAGGCTGCACAGGACACACCAGGTCCATTCATGTAACTGCCAGTGAAATTTGCCGTCAATTGCATGATTCGCTTAGCCTTCAACAAAGAGTGACATGACCCCACGTTAAATGAAACTGTTGTTAATAATGAAGCTAGAGAAAATGGTTTAGCGAAATGTAAATGTCCTTTTCCGAGCCTAGCAGTGCTCCCCCCCTCGCCCATCGAAAAATTCCCGCGATACCCAACAAAGGCAAACCTGAGGGATCCAAGGAAGTTACAGAGGTGGCCATAACGATCGCAACGTTGGCAACTTTGAAATTTCTCAGGCTTTGTATCGCCCCGTGTTTAAACTCTTATTACTTATTATGTATATTAAATTTTATTTTTCATGTATTTTTCAACTTTAGAAAATTCTCAGAAGGTCACAGCGGCATGTAGTGTCGAACGCAAGCAGTTCCACGCAGCTTCCCTTCATTACCCTGAACTTGGGCCTTTTTCGGTCTCAGCATTAGCGCTGGGCATTAGCCATCGAAGTATTCATGCGATTCGTCTAGGTTTCGCTAATGGGATTAAGCAGAAAAAAAATGCAAGGCCATAGATTAGTCAAGATTAGTGGCTGTGTGCGGTCCGCGTCATTCAACGCGCCATGGAAAGCGCTATGCTTAGAGTTTCCCCAAGGACAAAAGGAATCCGGAGCTTCGCACTCCGTCAACATCAGAGATTCTAAGGAACGCATGTGCCACATCGGCCGGCGATTTCAAGAAGATCAGGCGGGCACGTCATGCGTTTCAAAGATGACTGCTGGACTAAAACGATTGCCTTCCGGATTCTACGGGTCCTCATGAAGTCCTCATCAAGCCATGAAAAGGAACAAATACAGGCCGGGATCCAAGATGCTGTGCCGCGTAGCAATTAGCTAAAATTCAATAGCTAGTTGACTGGACATAGTGGAACGCTTTCAACATGAATCGAGTAGGTTTTAGGGCGAATGCCGCAATGCGAATGTCATGCCTACAACGTCTCTTCCGACTTTCTAAGTCGTCGCAACGTGAAGACTGACAGTTCCATTGCTTTTGCGATCTCGAATACTATCCGACTGAGTGGCGGCATTCCAGAGGTGGCGACGGATAGCGATTTTATGCGCATTTCCGTAGTGGCGAAAAACAAAGGTGGCATGACAACAAAACGAGGTAGGTAAGATCATAAAAGATTCCATTAAAAACATTTCTGCATACTGTGAAGGTAAAGTGGTGATCCCTGCAATTGATATCGTTGATAAAGGCGGCTTTTTTCCACTAATAGATGCATCCTGAGCCTGGCAGACGACTGCGCTGTTTTGGCTGCGCTCCAACTCACTATCCCTTCGCACACTATTCACTTGAACTCCGACTCTAATGTAGCCATAAATTCTGACTGTTTTGAAACAAGAACAATCGGGCGCAGTTGGGCGCCGAGAAGGCCGTGCATTTTTGTGAGATCACCTTGCTTCCTTGTGTGTCCCAGCAATCTCAGCTCTGTTAAACGCTGCAAACTCTTGAAGCTTGTTAAGGTCACTCAAGCCAATCATCGTAAAACCTGTGAGCTAAATAAGAAGAGGCTGTCCCAGATAGGTCGATCACTCGAATGGGAAAGTACACAAAGTGGCGAATGGCCCCCGGCCCCCACCTCGCCGTGGCCGAACTGTGCCCAAACAAGGACAAAAAAATCGTCCAGGCACGAGCGAAAAAGAAATCGGAGTCAATATTCTTTGAACCCGCTCTCTATCCTCCTAAAGAGCACCAAAGTGCTGTTGACTGTCGCCAAGTTTTACTCGCGCATATTCAGAAAAAAACCAATCAAAATCGTCAACAAAGTCAGGATAATCAAGGAGAAACTCGAGCAAGGAGCAACCAGAAGCAAAACGAAAACATCGGAAATCGGAAGTTCCAAGAAAAGACGAAAAAGGTCAACAGAAACTTGTGTGAGGCACAATATGGAAGAAGTTTATCGACAGACATAGGCCCATAAAAAAGAGGATGAGGAGATTGAGATGAGGGAGAGCAGCCTAGCTACGCATGCAGCTTATTCAACCTTAGATAAAGTCTCAGATCTTCTGAATACGTATAACAAAAATTTCTGCTCCCCGAAAGCAGTTATAGCTCCGCGTAACTAATTTTCGGTTCTTCAAAACTCGAGAGGGCTGGGGAAATCGGTGAAATTCTGATCCTATTGGGTACAGCATATCAGATCGTGATACTGCGTTTTTACCCTCTAGACTATCATCTTCCGTTTGAGTCGTTATCATTGAATCGAGGGGAAAAAGCGCTCACCATGAAAAGAAGTGGAAAGCGCTGAACTCAAGGAAGGAAGGAGGCGACACAAGTGAGAATCGCATGAGCAGCGAGGCGAACGAGCAATTCAGCATGGTTCGCTGAGGCTGAAGATCTCTCATCAGCTTAGCTTAGCGTTATGGACATCATCAAGCTATGAGGAATCTCAGTAACTAATCAGTCTCAGTAACTTCGACTGGGCTGTGCTCAAAAAAGAAAAAGTAGAGACTAGAGCGCGATAATTTGCACTCGGTCTAAAATCTTAGCAAGGTACTATGTATAAGGAAAAAAAGGCGAAAAAAAGCGAAAAGTGAAACGTCAAAACTTGCAGAATGGCTTATCTCAACGACTCAAGGAGCAATTTCGGACGAGTTTTCCGTGACATCGTGCCAGTAACATCGTGGGCGTCCGGGTCGGAATGTTGCAGCTTGATAGGGCTCTATAGCGGTAGCGGTACCTTCACTGACTAAAAGGCGCCATGTCGCGCTTTAGCTCGGCGATGTTAGATTCTGTCACTGCTAGGGCGTATTAAACCTTGAACATCTTGGGATTTCTCCGGGCCACTTGCCTTTATAACGACAGCATTCCACGATAACATCAAATGGGTGAGAGTCACTATTCGCAAACTGTCCTGTTGACACGCACTAAAAGGAGCGGCAACCCTAATGAGGGAAAGGTCCAGGTAGTTGGCGAGTCTCCACCCCCATCACGTCATCCAAATGGGCATACAATAGAAAATGAAATGGAATAGAAAACTGGAATGTGCCAATCAAAATGGAAGCAGTTCATTGGCAGTAAGTAAATTAAGCGTGCCAAAGAAGGCACCAAGATATTATAAACGAAAAACGAGCGAATGGATCGAATAAATGGCTGCAAACAACGGAAAGATGAAGCGGACTCGTCAAGGAAACAATGCATAAATAACGACTATCGTGGCATATCATTGGTCTAAATTTGTCACCAGAGGTGTTAGCGATGGACAGCTGAGCTGGCCGTCGAACTGCATGTAAGCCAATGAATCAGTGTGTAAAACAAAGACCAGGCCAGATTCAAATTGAATTAAATTGACCATTGACAGCTCAATTCACCTAATGAGGACATAATGAGTAATTACAAAGCCGTGAAAATCCCCAATCGCTTGAAATCTGAGGAAGAGGCAGAAGCAGTGCGTTGCTGGAAAGCTATTACGTGTGCAAATGAACATATCGATGGACAGACACAGTGGATGGACTTTGTAGCATGCGGGGATGGCAGGCGCGGGTGAATGGCCGCTGCAGACGACTGGCCGACCGCATCGCTGCCTGGGAGGCTCACTCACCGGCTAGCTGGCTGGTTGGTTGCCTGAAAAGGTGGCTCAAAGAAAGCCATCCTCTGGTATTCGTCCTCGAGGGATAGGAAGGCGAGTCGCACTTACAATGAGATTAGTGAGAGGGGTCGGTGACATTTGTTGGAATGGTTAAGAGGAGTTTTGGGGGAGAATTAGCGATTTTGGTTCATTTGCCCTTTTTCACTGTGGACTGAATTGAACATTACTTGGGTTGGATGGTAGAAGTATAGAGAGATTGTTAGAGCCTTCCCCCCTCCCCACCCCTTCAATCCGGTAGAGGTTTTAAGAGGGCCGTGCCAGCGAGTTGAGATGGTGCGCTCCCACCCGCCCTCCCCGCCCTGGCTGGGTATTGCTGGAGTGTCTCCAGTTTCTCATGTTGGATGAGAAGCCTTGCGGCACTTCTGACAAAGTTATTTCAAGAGTACTGGATTATGGACAAACTTGCCAAACCACGGACTCCGAACCTGCACCTCACGCCGTAAGTGCGCTATCCGTTACGCCACCATCGTAGCATGAAAACAACTGGCCGAACTTGGATGTAAAATTTCGGCATCAAAGTTTTTTCTGCTGAGGGCACCTCCAGTCTGCGAGTTAAAACGGTAGCGTGATGGTGAGGGTTGTCGAAGTCGTTTCGGAGAAAGTGCGAATAATCGAAGTTTTTTTTTTGTATTATGTTATGTTTATTACATGCCGAGACATGTGACTGAAGATGAAACATCAACTTGAATAGCAACAACGTAATAAGAACCAATAAATTCTTCAAGACAGCAACTGGTAAAGAGGATAAAAGAATAAAATCAAGTAATCAGAGATGTGATAGGCGGAGTCCAACTATTCATCAGTGGCAGTTATACTGAAGTAAGAGATTTCACTTATTTGATTTAGATTTGGTTTTGCTCAACTTTTGATATTGAGAGGCCAGCTCTATGAATAAAGAAAGTTGCCCTCACTAAAGTTTTGGCTAGAAGCAAGACAATTTTGAAGAGGGATCCCCTAGTGGATGATTCCATGACACGAAAGAAAGAATTACCATTAAAGGCACTTTCCGCGAAAAAATAAGGCTATGACTTTTCAAATGTGTCAGACGATCCGAGAATGCCGGATTTGCGTATCTTTAAAAAAGTGAAGCCCCGCAACGGGATTCCGCTTCAAGCTAACCAATTAGGCCCAAGGGCACCCTTAGCCCATGCCGACCCCCACCGGCTGCTAGCTACTAGCTAGTAGCCACTATGCTATCTCTCTCCATTCCGAATGGTGAGAGTGAGGTGATAAGATAAAAGAGCTGATATCTTTATGATAACGACGAGTGGAAATTCGTACAAACATGCGTTTTCTTCACTGCATGCATGTACAAGTTGGGGTCGATATGGAATCCTATTTAGGGCATTTTCGGCTGTTTTTCTGCTGCTTTTCTCCGCTAATCAGATACCTAGCCCTTTTTCGTTCCTATGTGGGTTCCGTTACCCACAATCTGTGGTCGCGGGCTTTGCCCTTCAAGTAATTTGGTGCCACCATTGAGTATTCTAGAAACCATTTTCGAATCATTGCACCTACGTCTCTCCTCGAGAGTCACGGGCCCGAAAATTTTGTTTTGGACAGTGCTACGCGGACTGATGCGATAGTCCATGCCTGTCGTACGAATGACAAGTTTCCTTGTGAGACTATTTTGCACCCCCTCTAGAGCACCTATTATGGCTTTCTTTGTGGGGTTGACCGCTGTTGTATACCATACCCATTATTGCTAATGTGAGTTTTGTATGGCATTCAGCAAGACTAGGAATTCTTTGGGGAGAGGTGTACGAAAAAAAGAATGAGCAGTTGAATGATAGCCATTGTTCTTGTTTGTTTCAGCAGTATTCGGTAAAACGTCCAGTTTTGTCGTTATAAGAAAACCAAGATCGGCGTACTTCAGAAACTGAGAACTAGGCGCTGGCCTTCGAGATACACCGTTACATGACATTAATAGCACCTAATAAGTACAACACTTTGGTTTGGGAAGCGATATTGGTAGCTTCCGAACGCTAGACCAAGAGCTCAGTGACTCAATAGCTTCCTGGAGAGCCAATGCTTTTGAAGGCGTGGCGGGGCTAATATATACTTTCAGAGTCATTAGCAAACATCTTACAGGAAACAAGTAATGGTTTCAGGAGCGCTGGAATATCATTGGGTAAAAATATTGAAAAGAATGGGAGACAATGACACATTTTTCCTGGGGAAGACCGCTTGTACAGCCTTTCAGGAGCCTTTTTTGAAAATTTCTGAGTCGTTTCCCGAGGGTAGTTTACCAAATTTTGGATTTTCTGAGGCATAAATTATTCTTACTTGCCAGAAGCCATGGCAAGTGTCCCTGAATTGTTTTAATATATGTTCAGGAAAGAACAAATTACCGACTAGATAGTGGAAGCTACTCAGTAAATCTTACGTAGAAGAAGGCAGCTGTCACATTTCCCAGACGAGGTCTATGTCATCTGTGGTGTTGTCATGGACTACGAAGGAATTAGAGCTTCCCGAAATAGTTCAAGCGTGACGTCAACCTTCCCTTCGGGAAGTCGAAAGAGGAGCAGAAAGTTAGTAGTTAATCAAGGTGAAAGTAGTTAATCAAAGTAGACCAGGGCTGTAAGATTGTGCCTCTATCCAGTGGGATCGCTATGAAAGTCCCAGCAATAACACAATGAAATTTTTTTAGCGGTATTCATCGCGGGAGGCATTCCCGATGACCAGGGCTGAGGAGCTCGTCGGCATTGAGATTCAGCTTGGAGGTGTTGCCAATTTATTCTTAATTACCTTTGGCTGCGCCTCCGGAGTGTTGGGCAAACAGTCACGTTCCTTCTCATCCAGGGCACGCCATCGTTGCGATAATCACAATGGGGATCGTTCTTGACCGCGAGGGAGGGGACTATTTTGTCGATAAAGGTTGTTCGGCTAGTCGGATTTCTCTGTTTCTGAGCGGCCAGGGGGTCGTAAGTTGTATTTGAAAGGCTTCGTGGCGTTGAGAAAAAACCTTCCTCAGTCGTTGAGTTTTTGCGATTTTTCCCGTTTCGCAGGTGTTATATGCCCCTCTCCCTCCCCCCGCTCGATAGCAAAATTTTGGGGGAAAACCAGTAACTCTTCGGAAAAAGCCGGAAAAATAAGTGGTTGGGGAAATTGAAAGTGTTAGGTAGCTTATCACAACCCAATGGCACTGCGCTGTTCCCAGTTGGCTTGACCAGTATGTTGCCACCTTTGAGTCTGGGAGGGCAAACAAATCCCTCTTGAAGCACGCTAAGACGTTTAGCTCAGCTTGGATGGATTGGTCCTTACAGTTCATAATAAAGAGGGCTTAGAGTAGTATCTTGAACGGCATGTAGAGTTTTTACAATCTCAATCTTCCATAGGGCCACAAAACCTCCGCCAGCCTCAGAGAACGTTTCCAGTAATTGGGGGCTAGTACATTCGGAACGAAACAAACGAGAAGGCGTATGAAAGGGCATGAACTGGAAGGCAGCCTGGGCGGTTCCTCCCTCTAATTGAATGCCGTCTTGAAGGTTCGCAGAACAACTGGTGGAAATAACTGCCCTAGCTGTGCTCAATCTCCGCATCCCTTTGTTTGCAAGGATAAAAGTATGGAAAGTAAAGTTTCCGTGGGCGCTGTTTCTCGACGAGGGGGCATTTTGCACTACCCTCGCTTCCCTAGATCCGGTTTTCCGGTAAAACTTGTGAACGCTTGTGAAGCTGGAGCAAGATCGTCTAGCCACCATCCTAAAACGTGTCAACTCGAGAAAAGGCTACCTAGATGGGTCGGCACATCTATGGAAAGCAGAATGCCCCCCCCCGTCGACAAACTGCGCCGTTTCCGTGGTTCAAAACTCCCTTTTTGAGATTCGGCGCGCATTTCACTTCCGTTCATAATCGTCAAGGGTTAGTGGGCCATGCAGAGATCAGCCACTTACAAGTCAGTGTACATATCCTCCCAGAAGAAATCTGGTACCAATTTACCGTCCCTGGAGGGTAGAGAGGGTTGCTGGCCTGGCTTGGTTGGCCTGGAGGGGAGCCGAGCCGGGATTTGCTTCCCGGACGGCGTAAATGGCGTGCCACTTGCCAGTACACCAATTCGACGCTCTTATTATTCGCAGGGGTAATGACTGTAATTCTTTCAAATAACTCACCAGAGCCAAATAGTCACTGATTGCGTCGTTGTTTGAATCACTGGTCGAATAAAGTGAAGTCTTCGTCTCGGCGCTCTCAAGAGGCGCTGAGCCATTCCTGAGATGTGGTTGTTAAAAATGAAGGCGCCGGTCCAATAAGATAAAGCATTTGGTGCAAAAACGATCCCGAGCCAGTGGATGAGTAGTTAGCCTAACAAGTCCCGAGGGAGGAGATATGGGTGGGTTGGGTTGACCTATCAGGGGACATTATCGCTAAGGATTTCTTGACGAAAGGAAGGAAACTGTCCAATTTTAAGGGGGGCAAAAAAAACAAAAAACAAACGGGTCTGCCGATTAAGGTCCTGAAGCTGAAAATATGGCGTGGGTAGGGTAGTATGGTCCGCGACGAACAACTTTGTACCGGTTTCACGGCAAAAAATTGTAAGGGAGGGGCGGTATAGCGCAAAATATGTTCAGTGATGCCTCCTTTTCTCCAGTGACTCCGTTTCCAGACTCCGCCTTCAAGGCCTGTTTTTCACTGAAAACGAAGCTGCAGGACGAGAAAAAGCATGAGAATCGTCACTTGTACGGTCGTAGAAATCTTATAGTTATAGTTACACAGAACCTTGTCGTCTACATGCGAACCCTCAATCCACTACCTGCCAGGGCGAATTATCCTGGATTTTGCCTTTAACTTTTTGTACCAGTTTAGAAAAATGGCTTCCATGGTCTAATGAATTTTTTTTGTGATTTTTGGTGTTTCGTACAGACTGCAAAAAGTGACGTCACAAATGTCACTATTACTGGTAAAAACCTGTAGGTCGGTCACCCTCGAGTGTCGATGGGCGATTGGGACAGGTGAAACGCTAGGAAGCTCCTTATCGCGATGAATTATCCTGGAACTAGCTCCTAAGTGCAAAAATGAGTTTTCGAATCCCTACAGTAATCCTAATTTTGCACAAGGAGTCTATGAAACGCCTTATCTTACTGGAACAGCACCAAAATGAGCCCACTGTGAAGGACAAAAAAGGAAAGAAGAAAAGAAGAGAGCAGAATGTTCCTCACCTTCGCCCTTGTGAGTTCTGCGATAGCGGTTGAGGAAACGAGTCTGAAAAAGAGCCGTAAACGATCTCAGATTCGACGACAGCACATTCCGATTAGATGTGCCGAGATAAAGTGGCAAAAAGTGAATTGTCGGCGAGAGCCGTGTGAGCATTACTGAGTAAAATCGATTACGGCCACGAGGGATGAGGGTGTGTGGACGTCAAATGTGGTCGAATTGGCCCCTTCAAGCCCGGATTGCAACATCTTAAACGACGTTCAAAGAGCGACACTTCAGCTGAATGGGCTTTAACTAAAGGCTACTCGGGAAAACAGTGTCGGATTCCTCAAACCGGCAGAAAGAACGGGAATATCGTGAGGAATACGTCAAACTGCACTGCACAAATTATGTATGAAGAGGAGCATTTGCAATGAAGAGAATGACAGCGTCCCAATGAAGTGGCTCCTTAGAAACCGTCGTTTTGCTGTGACTTTTGCCAGAATGTACTGAGTAAATCTAAAATTAGTCCAGTAAATCTCCGTCTAGTAAGTTCCGCTCGGTGACATGTCAGTGATGGATGGAACGCAGACCTTTCTTGGATTATACGGCTTTGCTTTGCACCCACTCAAAATGGAAACAAGGAAGAACTAGCGAAAATAAATTCAAAATGAAATAAAAATCGAGTCCGGGGTGTTGGGCTGGTCCATGAGCGACGAGGTTTTTATCACATGGAGAGAGAAGAAAAGTAGAAGAAAAAAAGTAAATTTCAGATAACAGGAAAGATTTCTTTATGTGTTCTACTGTCTATTTGCCACGGATGCTGGAGCGTTTTGGGGAGGAGGCTGGGTCTGGCGCGGCGCCAGCCTGTTCTCCACGAATCGTTGAAGGGGGCAAGCGACAACAGTTCGTGAAAATTGGTCTGGCGCCGAGCCGAACCCAGCCTCCCTGACAGGCCCCAGCATCCCCAGCGAACAAGACTGCATGTTACTGTGATGGATGATTTTCTGCTTACAAGAAATACACCCGTTGTCCTATTCGCACTTAATTTTTTGTTAATTTTGTTTATCCAGAAGTGGAGTGTGAGCTCGAGACAAGGGAAGGTTCTCGACCCCACCTTCTCGCAGTTAACCTCAACCCCTCAACCTGCAGAAACAGCTCGAAACTCGTGCATCATCAAAGGAATAGGCCTCTCAGGGCGGCTTGAAATTGGTTCAAGCAATTCAGAGATGGGAATTTGAATCGTGTAAATGTGCATCGCATGGGGCGCTCTCTAGGAGAGCGAGCGCCTGCAGAACCCATCCGTCAAGTTCCAAAACTCTCCATCAGGAGAAGGTGATGCTCAATGAAGATGTGGGAGATTTCATGCCCTATACTAATTCCCCATCCAATGGCAGGATCCCCGTGTGTCAGTTGGTTCAGTAAGCTCCCAGTCGGACTCCGTATCCGCTATGGTTGTCGTTAGGATCGAAACTGAAATCTTTAAATCTTCTAAACTTTTGTGCCCTCCTAACAACGACAGACATCGCTTCTCGACCGCATACGTAACAAATGAGGTTCTGCGGTTCAAGTTTTTCACTCCAACGCAAAAAGAGAGGGTGTCGACTGAATTTCGTCAACTTGACATTTACTTTTGAGCGCTCGAAAATTAAAGGAAATAGTCCCGAAAAAACCAAAGCATACCATCTCATAGGCAAGGGAATCTTTATCGAGATGTCTGGAAGACCTCAGGAAGTCTTTCAACTTTGACCAAAATTTCAAGTCAAAATGAAAACGCCACCACTTATTGGCCAATGCAACCCATGCAGAGGAAAAAAAGTGCGTGGCACAATCCAAATGGATGAACGCGGAAGTGTTTAGGGTCCTGTAGCCTTTCATTCACTGACTGCACCTTTCTATGTGTTTGACTGCTCGTAATAAGGGCATACTATCCAAGATGCTGAACCAAGGACTCATATCACTTTCGGTAACACACAGGAGGCCAACTACTCGGAGCGTCCTACAAAGGAGAAAGATCGGCACCATCAAGTTGGAGAAGAAAAAGGTCACCGTCGTAAAGTAAGCTCTGTAAGAGTAGATAACCATTTTATGGCGATTCAAATGACTTTGTTTTCGATCATTTTTCCTGCGAAACTACGTTGCCATGAACTTAAAAAAGTGGAGGCAGTGGAGCACACGTCACGGCGGTGTTCTTGTCGAGGGTACTACTACTCCTCCCTCGGCACAGGATTTGCCCCCCCCCCCCCGCGCGTGGTAAATGGTCTAATTGCCGCCCTTCTGTGGGAAGATACCGCATCGGATACCTCCATACCGCAAGATTAGTATAGTGGTATCCAGTGGCATCAAATTTCACTTCAAATGACCAGCGAAGGAATGAGAAAAGTAGAAAAAGAAATTGAAAACAAAAAAATCAGCAAAATAGGGTAATTAAATGAAGAAAATGAGGACCAAGAAAATATTCGCATTGATTAAGAAAGCATGAACGGAAAACCGTTGTTTCAGCACGGTACATAATCGGAAAAGGCTCAAGTAATTGGAAAGGCAAGGTAAGGCATTTCAAAAAAGGAAATCAGTGAGATCATATCATTTCCCCAACTTCCTCATGAGGGGTAATAAAAAAGCCAAAAAAGCAAAAAAAATATTGAAGGAAGTGAGAGAAAAGGGGTGCAGTACGGCGACGGGGGGCATTTTGCACTTTCGTTGCTTCACTAGTTCCGGTTTACAAGTCTCACTCTGGTGAAACCTGTGAACTCTTGTGAAGCTGGAGCAAGCTCGTCAAGCCATCATGGTAAAACCTGTCAACTCGAGAAGAGGCTGTCTAGATGGGTCGACACGTCGATGGGAAGTAGCAAAAGTGCAAAATGCCCCCCGTCGCCGAACTGCGCCGGGAAATCGTGACCGTTTTTGCTCTCATTTTTGTTTCCCTGAGTCCTGTATTAACGAAGCTATGGACGCTGAAAGGTTGAAAACATGCATGCCAGGAATTTTCTTCGCTAATTCAAGGAAAATTCTCCTGACAGGGTGTCCCGGCGAGTGGCAATTCATGAAATTGCTCGTGTTTGTCATCGAGGAAAAGCCCTCTGCTT